CTTTCCCTGTGTAGTGTAACAAATATAGAATGTTTGAGCTTAATAGACTAGGTTTGATTTTTCTCAAGCAAAATAAAAAAATGACGATATTGTCTTTTTTTTTTTGCTTGTAAATAATGTAGCTTGGTCTTTTCAAAAGCATATCGCTGAATCTTTCAGCAGAAGAAATATGTTAATTACATAATTTCAAAAAAATAAGTCTTAAGAAATCTTGCTGCCTGTGTCTAAACATTTCTCCTAATTGTATTGGTAGAATAATACTGTCTGATATCACTGCATAATCACAGTTGGCTAAATGTGTGTATTCTTTCTTCAAGGCACATATTGGCTTCTCGAATTGTCATATTAAATTGAATAACACAATTACCTTCTCAAATTATTTAGGTTCCTATTCAGTCAATAGGATTTGCAGTTGCCGAATGGTTCTTTTACAGCTTAAAAAAAAAAAAAAATTAAAAAGCCCCTTAAAGACTTTGAATAATTTTAACTTAAAAGATTATAAATTAGGAAACTTGTAATGATATTTTTCTTTGAGTAGAAACATATTTTTTAGGAATGAAGCAAGAGTATAAATATAAAAAGCATTGAAATAAAACCTGAAAAATTTGGGAGAGATACTTTATGGTTACTAGGCACTAATAATACTACAAATCTTGAACCCCAGTGTATTGATTAACTGATTAACTACCTCTGTGTTGTGTTCCAGTGGGTGTCTACAAGCCTTTCAGAATTATTGGTGTATGGAAACATATGCCAAAATATTCATAGCATCAGTCAAGATAAGTGGTTGCCTTTTTAAATTGTTATGCAATTCCATAGCTTATTGTGAACAGTTTGACCTTTTATATTTTTAAGTTGATGTATAGAGAGAAGTAAATTTCTGCATAATTAAGAGATTGGTACGATACCCCGAGAGATTATGAAATGCTGCTTTATTAACAACATTGACCATTTGAATTTTACTATGGTTTTATACTCATATTTTACACCATAATTGTAATTCAGGTTATAAAATGATATGATCTCATTAATTTGATAGACAACTTCAGTGATGGTATTTATGTTCACTCAGCCTCAGTCGGAAGTGTTCATAGAAATGTTGAAGCTTTGAGTGTGGAATAAACTTAATTTTATTTTTTGCTTTTTAGGAGACTATATTCTTGATGCAAAACCTAAAGAGATATCTGAAATTCAGCGTCTAAATTATGAGCAGGTAAGGAGCTGCTCCTAAAAATACAATTGCTTATGTCTGAAGGAACTAAAACTTTTTTCCTCACCTAAAGTTTATCATCTTGTTAAAAACCAGAAACATGCAAACTATTATTTGTAGTTAGTTTTTCCTTTTTTTTTTCTCTTGGGTTAATGTAGAGTATTTTTTATAAATACTTCCTATTAGTGAAGAGAAAGTCAGTATCTATTAACACGATAATTTTTTTCCTGAGTGTAATGAAATAATTTTGTTCTTATTGAGGAATTATAACACAGAAGTACAGGTGGAAGCATATAACCGAGTGGTTGCTCTTTGTGCTCTGTGTGCTCTGGTCTGTGATCCCTGCTAGACTTTATCTGAGGATGTAAACTAAGCAAGAAAGATCTCTGTTCTTAAGTTGTAATGCACAAAGAGGTTGATTCCGTATTATTAAAGGCAATATTATTTGCCCTGACAACTATTTTTATGTCATCACAGAAATCTTTGTTAAAAATAATGCTATTAGTTTAAAAAAATACTGATGTAGTATAATTATCTTGGAGCAATTTTTCAATCTGTTTCTGTGTTCACAGCTGATTTTTTTGATTACTCATAGAAAAGTGATTTGAATTTATTACATGTGTTAGGTTTCAAGCTAGTTCTATTTATTATTAGGTTGTCTTTTCTTGCTCTCATTCAGTGTTGAAAGCCAAATTGAGTATCTTGGGATACTTGAAATTAGAATGAAGATTGAATGTGGATTCTTTTAACAACCAAAAATATGACTTGTATCAAATTATATGAATTATTTGTGTAATAACAAAATTAGCTATATTTTTTCTACACAAATCTGTGCTGTAGATGATTATAGCTATAATCAGCTTAGAGGAGGGTGATGAAAACTATTCTTGCTTAAAGTACCACCTTTATGGCTTTCCTGTGCTCAAATATATGACTTTACTATGTAAAAGTCACAAACCTTTTCTTTAAATATTTAACTGTACAATTTTAAAAAAACCTTGTGTTCTAGGAGTGTTCTAAATGTACTTGTAGATGCATGAGTGATGTCACATAAGAGAGGAAAAACAAACTAATTAAGCAGCTGAGTCTTACAAAATTATTACATTTCAGAAGCATTGGGACAAAGTCTTAGTATTAATCATAATTTTGTGTTTATCTTGTCACACAGTTAATATTCTTTGCCTAAAAAATATATTTTCTTCCTATACAAGAAATCCAAGTAAACTTTTTGGACAGCTGGATTTGTAATGCTTAATTTTAGTATAATTTTAACATCATTATAAGATATTAATTTCAGCAGTGAGTTTTTTTACCATAGTTGAGGGATTTAATTAAGCATTTGAATGAAAGTTGGATTTAAAAAAAAGAAAAAGCACAAGTTCTAATGTACAAACTTAAGAACAGGTTGCCCAGGGAGGTCATGGAGTCTCCATCCTTGGAGATATTGAAAAGCTGTCTGTACATTGTCCTGGGCAACGGGCTTTAGGTGGCCCTGCTGGAGCAGAGGGAGTGGACCGGATGACTTCCAGAGGTCCCTTCTGAGCTTAACTGTTCTGTATATTTATATCCGTACTTATTTGCATTCATTTTTTTCAAAGCTTGTTACTTTGAAGGTGTGCAAATAGCTAAAATAGAAAAATAGAAATGATACTGTTAAAAATTGTAGTGAGAAACTTCTGCAGTTTTCTGGACAGTTTGATGTATTGCTGGTTTGTTTACATTACAAAATAAATGCAACTAATGTCTGTAGATGTATGATCTCCATTTGTGGATGGCTGGTGCTGAACTGCTATAGACTTTATATTAATTTAGCAGAGTAAGAGTATAGCATTATTTCTTCCAAAACACCTCTGATAGGTTTTTATTCTTGATGTCTGTTCCCTACTAATAAAATGCACTTAAGTAAGGTGATTTGGCTTGCTTTTATAATGATAAAATTTTTTTAAAAATTAAAGTCTGAACCAGATCTGAGAATTACAAATCTTGCTAAAGTCTAAATTTTGTGACATTGCAAAATTGTCAGAAGGATGAAGCAACATGTAGTAAAGTAGTGGGAGCTCTTGCCTTCTTGGTAGTAGAAACTTTACACAACAGTGCAGTTAAAAGGCTACAAGCAGTAAAACTCTCATTCATAGCAAGAATAGCACGCTCATTCATAGCAAGCACTGGCAAGTGCAGATACTGGATAATGATTGTGATGGTGTTTTATAGCTATGCTTGGTCAAGTAGTTAATAAGCTTTTCTGTGTAAGCTTCAACTCTTAGAGCTTTCCAGGTTTAAAACTGCTTAGTAACAAGGAAGCATGTCTGTTTATACTTACTACTTCGGGAGTTTTCAGAAGTTGCATCTTAAATGAAATTACTCAAGTAGGATCAAGTTTATTGTTATACTGGTTTTTTATTAAGAAAAAAAGTACATTTAAACTTGCATACCAGTAAGAGGAGTAGCTTAATTCCTTTGGCTAAAATGCTGAGGTTGGTGAACGTGAAATTTTTCCTGTATGCCTTCATGAAACCATGCTTTTGCATGTGTAGTATTGTGCAAAGATCTGTAGGTGAGCCTATTTTACATTTATATGTCTGCTTACACAATTTTTACATACAAGTTTTGTTTTAGAATTCTGTTGCATGCTGAGAGATGTCTAAAACTTCTTCCAAGATCTAGGTAACATTCCTCTTTCCAACAGATGCAGAACTGTGCTTAGAATTGGGTCATGAAGTGTTGAAGGATGTAGCCACTTCACTTACAACGCTTACTGAGTAAATGTGCTATGTTTTAATTGGTACATTCTTTACAATACCAAGTTACAAGATGCATAGACTGATTTATTAAACTGCTTTCTTACAAATAGTGAGGTCTACCTTATGTTCTAATACAGGCTTGTGTTGGTATTCTGCTCCACCTATTAATATGTGCACTAATGTACTGCAGAAATGAATATTCAAGTTAATGTATTGGTTATGTTATTGTTTAATGGATCCAGTTGTCATTTTCCTGCATTTCAGCAAGTTGCTTTTAATTTGATAAAATAACTCATCACTGTGTCCCACTTATGCCTTGTTAGCCTACCTAGCTCTTTAATAATTTTCTCATTATTCATCCTTTTTAGACAGTCATACTTAGTCTCAATTCTTTGTCTTGCCTTATTGATTCCATTAATTGTGGTTCTTGCCATTAACTGTCCTACCAGTAAAAGAAGATCCATCGAGAGGCAATTGTCTCTAACAATCAGTGGGTTTAGTCTGTGAATAATTTCTGCCTCCATCTCCTTTCTAATCTGTATTTCTGGGTTTTGTCATGCTTTTTTTTTCCTCACTGTTGCAATCCTGAATTCCTCTTAAGCAACAGAATATTGCAAAACTAAGAAAAAAAAAAAGCCCTCCCCAAACCCCAAAACAAAAAACAACAACCCGCCCCCCCCCAACAAACCAACCTCAAAAAACCCCTAACACCACACCACCCCCCCAAAAAAAAACCCCAGCTAACAAACAGGCGCCTCAGTTTCCCTTAATCTTTTGCAAATACTTTCTGGTAATAGTCTTTGTGGACTTTTCTCACTTGGTGGAAAATTCTTTCCCCTGCATGTCAGGAAACTTATTTGTCTGTTGTTTCAAGAGAACTGTCTCACAAAGCACTTCTTTGGGTCATCTTTGCTTTGTGTGATTGGATTTTCATCACTTTATAATTCCCCTTAGGATTCCTTTGGGATCACTATTATAATACAAGTGCTACTTTCATGACTTGTTTCCACAGTAGAATCTACAGGCCATTTAAAGGTATGCGCAAAATAAGATAGCCACAAACTTTTTTATGAAACAAGAAAAATCAGATTCTTGTTGTTCACCATTTTAAGTACTGAACCCCCAAATTGGAGTTGGCAAGTAGAACTGTGTAGATCTGTTTGTTTTGTTCGTTACGTGGTCGCAAGTACTTCAGCCCCTGACTCTTAGGAGTCAGATTCAGCTGATTGGAGGGAGAGTTCTTATTTTACAGATCTCTTCTGGCACAGTGAGAATGAATAATGTGAATATGCATTGAAACAGTTGTTTAGCTAACTTCCACTTTTGTAAAATTTTTTTTCAAAATGTTGAATTAATGAGTACTAAATGATGAAGGGTTACAAGTGGCACCACCAAGTATACAAAGCTGTATTTGGTCATCTGCTTTTTTTCTTTCTGCTGTCAGAATATGAGTGATGCAATGGCAATTCTACATAAGTTACAGACGGGTCTGGATGTCAATGTGAAGTTTACAGGTGTACGAGTATTTGAATATACACCGGAATGCATAGTGTTTGATCTTCTTGATATCCCCTTGTACCATGGATGGTTAGTGGACCCTCAGGTAACTTACTTTTTTTTTTCAGTAATTCAAACAGAATAGAAGTTATTCTGAATTTTATTGGGAGGAGGGGGAGATGTTTCTGAATTTTAACTGGAGTCAATAATAATGATTATGGTAATGGACTTTTTAAATCTAGTCAGAAAACCTGCATTTTCTTTAGAGAGGAGTGAATACAGACTGTACATGTTTTTTACTGTGGTAACTTTGCAGAGACTAAGTCTATAGTTAAGCTATCTTTCAAAACCTTCTATGCTGACTTCATAACTATGTAAATTAGAATTTTTCTGAGGGAAGTAGGAAGTTGTCAGATCAGTGTCTCAGTCATTGTTTTTGAAAGCTTTTTAGAGAACACTTGGAAGGAATACAAGGTTACTTTCCTCCTTTTATTCTGATTTACTAGTCACTGCTTTTGAGTACTGAGGATGTTAGAGCCAACTGGAGAACTGTATCTTTAACAAATAAAATTTATTTTTAATGATATTTAATAAATGGTGAGTTTGGCTGGAATAATCTGCTTAATTTTTTTTCCTTTTCATGCCTTGTTCATGAAAGTTGCTATTCTCTTATACCCTTGGGCTTCTCCCCTGCCCAGCTGAGCCTACTTATGCCCTGTTCTCCTCCATCCGCTTCAGCAACAGCTTTTGATGTTAAGCGTTAACTTAAGGATTTAAAATGGGATCTGAGACTGCAAAATGTGTAACAGTCTGTGCTAAAACTTTTTGGCCTAGTACTTTTAGGGGAATAACTTCCTCTCTTTGAAACTCTCCTTATTTTCATACGAATAATTGCCATAGGCTTACGGTTGTGTTTTGTTCTTCACAAAGGTGAGTTGTTTGTTTTGTATGCTGTTCCTTTCTGCTCCAGGTTGCTGACATAGTAAAAGCAGTTGGTAACTGCAGTTATAATCAGCTAGTGGAGAAGATAATTTCTTGTAAACAGTCGGACAACAGTGAACTGGTTAGTGAAGGTGGGTAGCTTTTTTTCTGTGCTTCATCAAAGTATGTACCCTATCAAATCTTAGCTAAATATTTTCTATGTGGTCTTGGTATGTAGAGATACAAGTGTAATGAGCTGCATTCTGTCTGCTAAACTTCTTTCCCTGGGCAGGCAGACAGCACTGTGCTTGTCTTCTAAAATTCTCTAATCCAATTTCGAAACCAAGGATCAGCCTCATTCTGTTGATCTATTAAATATACTTTTTAAAATGCTGGAGAGAACTTCCTTTTATGAAAAGGTATTATGGGCAGCATTCAGATTTCAACCTGGCTATATATTATTGCCTATAATTAGAACAGGAATTATATACTATATGATGACAAGGAAAAAATCAGTATTATTAGAAGCAGATACAGCATTTCTGAATATGAGGGTTCTCTACAATGCTGAGGTTTTAGAACTTGGTTTACCCTCAATGTGTTCCCTTCGATTTGTGGTAATAAGGGGGCATCTTAGTAGGGAGGAGATAGGAAAAATATTACCACTGTAACCAGATTTTATATATTAGGAAGTATGTAATAGACACACATAACAATACGTATTGCTTTTGTAGGATTTGTAGCTGAGCAATTTCTAAATAACACAGCTACACAGTTGACATACCATGGACTGTGTGAGTTGACTTCAGCTGTCCAGGAGGGAGAGCTTTGTGTGTTCTTCAGGAACAACCATTTTAGTACAATGACCAAATACAAGGTATAGTCAACATTTTTGTCTTTACTGTTGTGGTTTGCATTCTCATTTCAAAGCAAATCTTGTTTTTTCCCTGTCTTAAAATAGAAATAAATTCCAGTTTGTTGTTATATGTAAGTACAGCTCATGGTGAATGTAAGGTCTGTAGCAACTGTTACTTGTGAATTATTGATTACAGTGTTTTAGATATCGGGATCCATTATCACTTTAAATCTTGTTGCAGCTCTTCCCTTTATGTTCACTTTGCTCCCTGCGTTAACTCATTTTCTGGTTATATATAATCACATACATTTCTTACATGGCTTAAATTTACTTGCAGTGTGTGATTGGCAATTCCAAGGTTAATTATTTAATTTCTTGTTTCTGAGGATATAGAAGTTTGCTTTACACTTGGGCCAGCAGACGAGTAACTCCATCATGGTGTTCAAAATACTAAACATTTAGAGAAGTTCAGATGAGCTACAATATTGGTTCCCTTTGTTAGGGAGGAGGCGATTTATTTTTTTTAATCTGAAACTGGGGAAGAAAAAAGGTGACAATTGTGAAAGAAGTATTCCAGGATACGAAAAGCAAGTGACAATTTGGTTAATGCTTCTGGAACTCCTGTGGAGCGGAGAACTTGGCTTGGCAAGTTTACAGTCATTTGTGGAGCATCTTTCTTTTAACATATTTTTGCTTTTGCCTTTACTAAAATGATAGTGTATTTTTATGTATCTGACTTGGGTAGAGAGGGGTGTGGTCAAATGGTCACCTAAGATTTAATCATTCCTTTCTCTTTAGTGATAAATGTCAATATTTTGAAGTAAACTTTTCATTGGCTTGCAATGTCAAATCATACTTATTTAGACATTTCTCTCAAACATATGTATGAGTTTTTACCTTTGTACAGAACTCTTGACTTTATGTTTTGGTTATGTGTTACTAAATACGACTTTAATTTTATGCATACTTGCATTTGTGAATAATGGTAATAAATGGAAAAAAAGAGGTCTGTAACATACAAAAATGTTAAGGAACCACTGTTTTCACCATCTATTATATGGTAACATCATATACCTCGTGTGAATGACACCAACTTTTCCATTTGGTAGTCCTAGTCCTTTTTTACCCTCTGTTAATCTTGACTGTCAATGCATATCTTTGGCATTTTGAATAACTAGCTACTCATAAGCTGAGCTAGAGCTCTGGACATTCCTGATAAAAATAAACTCTACAAACAGGTAACACTTTTGGTTTTCTAATAGCTTCTTAGAGCACGTCTAAGATTTCTTTTAAATCTATGTACAATGATATTATCTTAAAGCAGTAGGACAGGTGAAAGGATCTTTCTCTTCCCTTCCTCTGTTTAAAAAAAAACAAACCCAAAACAACTATGGAATATATCTGTTTATGGTCAAAACTATAATTGTTACATTTCCTGATGAAGCTCATCTATGTCACAATTTTAAGAGGTATAATTTTGCTTCTCTCCAGTTTTCTAAATTTAGCTCTTGTAATAGGTGCTGGTAGTTTGTCAGGTAAGCCTATAAGTTTTATAGTTGCTTTTGTTACAGAAGAGAAACCCCAACCTCCAAACAATTTAGTTTTTAAAAAGAAAATACTAAGTAGAAGTACAGATGTCCTTTCTGGGTACAAGTGGCACCTAGAGGTGCAAGAAACCTCTTTTACTTTGTTTCAAGGTCACTTTGAACTTCTGAATTATCAATACAGAATTTTGTAGAATGTAGACTGTTTGTCATGTTCTGCAGCCCAGTATTTAGATTAAAGGCCAAAACCTGGTGTGTGTTTCAGTGCTTTATCAACTTCATACATGTAAACATTTGCTTCTCAGTTGAGGCCCTTTTTCCTTAAAGAAATAAAATGCAACACTTCAATGAGTTAAATATCCTTAGCCAATATTAATAATACAGAGCAGGTGAAGACAGTAAAAATCTGTGTCTGAATCTTAACTGTAAAAACTGAATTCAAGTTCTAAGAAATATTGAGTTAAAATATTTGAAGAACAGTATTATTTGTTAGGTGTGTATTTAAACTTTACTGCTTCTAAGTCACTATGGTTTTACTCTTGTCCTTTTTGAGAAGTCTTAAACTTCTGAAATGCTAAGTTTTGGAATAGGGGCCATTATTGTTGTGTTTCATAGTCATTACGGTGACCTCACTTGCAGCTAGTGTTCAATGTCCATGTTATCTACAGGCTTTTAGTTCCTGGGGTTGTCACTTTTAAACAGTAATGTTGATTTTGCCTTGGCTTTCTGGTGAGTGGTACATTACAGAATTTTAGATATCGAGAAACTCTTTTATAAAGACAGAAATTCTTTATTAATTTGTGTTTAAAAGTCAGCAGTAACCTTTCTGTCTGTTTCTAACCTAATTAGCTATTTGCAATAGCTATAAGACTGGATATTCTTTCATATCAAGGAACTCAGAAATAGACTTGACTTGGGTTTTTTGCCAAGATTACCTATCCAAAAATCTTTGGACTTCTAGGATACTCATATGAGTGCCAAATGCCTTGTTGTCAGAGTTGAGATTTTTTCAACTGCCTTACTGTTTCCTTTTACTAGGTTTAATGCTAGCTCTGCAGATTTTTAATGGAGTTTCATTTCCTTGAGAGTTTGAGCATTAGTCAGCAGTAGCTGGATTATGGAGAAAAGTCCATCTGTTAGGAGAACCGAAGACAGAACATTTGCTGGAGAAAATGAAGGTGTAGAACTTTTAGGGCAAGAACTATGCAATTTGTTTGTCTTTCTCTAATAGTACCCTTCTCTCTTCCCCCTCCAAATCAATATATGGAAACATGCAAAGAAAATGGTTATGAAGTTAAACAAAAGAGAATTTATGTATAAGTTATGTATGTATAATAAAACTTGTGTATTTTTAGAAGCACTTACACTTTGAATAATTAGCAAGAATTTATAATGAAAATCCCTCAGGTATATTAGGCCGTTTAAGTATTATTCTAATGAAGCCAATACTTTTATTTGGAAGCTTTCATGTACAGCTGATACAGTGACTTGCATGCTGGAGATATTTCTTAAGTTCACTGGAGTTTCTTGAGACCCATATTTTAGTGAAAGGAATTGGATTTCAGTATGTTATATTTTAAAGAAAGTGGAATGTAGGCTGATTTTTAACTGCATTTACTGGAGGAAAGAAAAAAAAATCACTAAAATTTTTCAAAGGAAATGCAGAAACTTGAAACAAGTTTTTATATGCTTATCTTTTCTAGAATTGGCTTTAGAATTGAGGAGCAGGTGTGAGTAATTTAAGAAAAAGAAATATTTGGTGATACTAAAATAATTCAAAGAGCAAAATTCGTAAATTGGACGCATTTTGAAGTTCAGCATATCAGTTTTTCTAATAAAAGAGACCAACCCAAATAGCCTTAATTCTGCTCTGTATTGGTGCCACATAACAGTCATATGATTGTGATTGAGCCATTTTTAATATTTGTGGTGCTTGGTTGAACAGAGTTATTTTTTTAATTATATTAGAGTTCTTTCCACATCCCATCTGGTGAGCTTCTTTTAGAGATAACAGATATTTTCTGTTTTTAAATATATTATATATGTGTTTACCTGTCATTCCTTAATAATGGATAATCTTGTGGATATTTGAGAGCAGAAGTGGGAGAGGTAGAGACTGGTAAAATACTTTTTGCATATAATTTGAAATTCCTGGGATTTAAGTCTTTATTACAGAGTTTGCTGTATTTATTTGACATACAGTATCAATTTCAAAATAGAAGATTTACTAACACTGACAACACTTTACACAATTATACTGTGTTTAGAGTGGCTTTCCACTGTCAGATCAAAGGATCTTTATCTTGGTTTTGGATTGCTTATTTTAGAGGGCTGTTTTACTGAAACAGGAGTTATGTGAAAGTGTGAACAAACAGCACAGTATTCTGAATTCCCGTATCTTTGCTTTGAAAATTTTTTCATGGGCTGCTGTTACAAGATGTTACGTAGTGGCAAGAACTCCTTGGAGACATTGGGCATACTAATGCCCAACTAGTATGATTGTTAGGCTGGTTAGTCTACTCCTGCTTCCTTTGTGTCCAGTGTGTCTATTGATTCCAAGATATTTTTTTAAATTTTATTTTTCATGGATAGTAAAGAAATTTGTAAGGAAGGGAACTGGAGTAACTCCTCACAAACCTGGCTTTCTTTTTAATATTACTTTTTAATTGTAACTAAATTAACAATAATAGGTGTGGTGTTTTTTACTCTTAAATGCTTCTTGCAAGATCAGAAATAGAGTGGTTATGAACATATAGCAACATTATGAATACCTGGTGTAGATTAGGGAGGTATCAGTGCTGTTATATACTGTAGGCAAAAGCTTATTAACAGTCTTTGCTAGCAGATATTTAAAAGGCATCCCTACACTCACTATGGGGATGAAGATAATACTTTGGGCTTTGAGCTGGACAATAATAGGTGAGAAGTTGCATTATAATACTTTTAAATATATTATTTAAAAAAGAGTATTTGACTTATGCAGAAGAGAAGAAGCAAAAGGAGGAAAACTGATTTTAGTTCACTGTCACTGTATTTGAAAATATTTGTTACTATTGTACCATTTTTACATATCTTCCAAATTCCTGACTCTGGGAGTATGAGTTAAATGGAAATGGCTTATTCAATAACAACTTTTCTGGTTTAGATACAGCATGTACTTTAAAATCATGGAAGTTGACAAGTAAAGTAACAATAATAGAAGAATAGTGGCAGAGAGTTTTTTCAGAGTTTACTATGAAAAGTTTTGAAGTAATCTTCCTCTAAAGACTTCAGTAGTTTTTGTTTTAAAGCTGCTGAGTTGATATCACAATGTAATTGTGAAGATTCACAGATTGCATTTCAGAATAGACCATCAATTCAATTATTTGTTTACTCACTTTGTATTATTTAATATAGTCTTTAATAATTAATATTTTACTATCCTCTTCTGAAATTCAAATGAAATTTGCATATAACAATGTATTGACATTTCTGATTTGAAAAATGTTTGGCTATTAAGATCGTGTTTGTTTATAGAAAAATTATGTAATATTTTTAAAATTCTCATTACTGCATATATAAAAGAAAAGCAAATACGGCAATTGCGTAATACATACACATCTGTCAAAGTATGGTGAGTGTTAGTTAATAATGACAATTCAGTTATCAGATTCTTAATCCCTTTCACTGTTATTTATCCATTTGCCCAAGTAATTATTTATTCTACTTCCTGTCCCTTTAATTGCATATTAATAGTCTTGGCTCATGTGATTATACAGTAATAATTTTCAGCAGTTAAAGATGTGATTTTTTTTTTGCCTTTGCTTTTCATTACACAGATAATAAATACATCAAATGATAATTCCCTAGATCAAGGAAAAACAGGACTGTAAAGAGGGGATCAGTTTGGTAAGAATGTCTTAGTTCAGTTGGAATGTTTTTCCCACTGATGTGACTATAACACAACCTGTTTTCTTTACTGAAAAGTAACGAGACACTTGCCTGTTCGGATTTTCAAGTATGTGTGTTGCAATTATGTTTTCTAGTTTATAAACGTTGGGTTTCTGGTTCAGAACTCAACACAGACTTCTATTCAAATACAAAGTATATTTCATATATATGTGCAATAATTGCACTTTTTCCTTGGGAGTTTAAATGATGTCTGAGTTTGGCATACTAGAGGCAATGTATATAACTTCTTAAAAACATGTTTAAATATTTTTCCATTTTTTTTAGTAAGTATACAAGTGGTGTTTTTTCTGAGGGTTACTCTGTTGAATCAAATAATGTATACTTTTTAAAAAAAAGTTAATTTTCTCTAGAAGTTAAAACATTCAGATAGACTATTATCAAAATAATAGCACTCATTCACGTGAACATAAAACACCTTTATAAAAACTAAGGTATCTGATCCAGAGGTCCAAGAGAACATTTACATAGACTTTAAAGAACAGGGCTTAAAATGCTTATCTTTACTGTATGAAGCTATTGGACAGGTGTTTGGTTTTCCTTTTCAGTTTTCTAAACTGGTGGAAACTTGGTAACTGGCATGAGAACAAGTAGTTTAAAAGCATTAAAGTTAAACACTTAGTCTGGTCATGAAATTAACCCAGGAAAGAAGGTCTCGTAACCGGTGACATCACCTGCAGCCTACATCTGTTTGCATGCTAGAGAGGTTTTTTGTGCAAACCAGAAGACTAAGAGATCATTCTTCAGGAGAATAGTCTTGCTTTTATCCTTAGCTTTATTTCAAGATTTTTCTATGTGAAACTATGAAATCTGGGCATTGGTCTACAATATCTAGATACTGATTCTTAGGATAAATAATTATTCATAACTTTATTATAGGCACAGTTTACCTTGACAGTTATGTGCTTGCCACTCCTATTGTTTTATTCCCTATTGACAACAGCTATTAGTAGATATTATTGCTGTATATTATGTGCTAGTACTTTTGGGGGCAGTGTTAACCCATGAGACTGTGTATTTATTAAAAACTGCCACATTTAAAAATAAACTTAAAAGGTAAGCTGCTAATACTTTAGAAATGGCCAGTTAAGATTCTATAAAGGTAGAAACACATTTATTTTGTAAAGTGTGATATTGTTCTTGGCAAGGTGTACTTGAACAATGTATTTATGTACATTCATTAGCTTAATTGCATGACTTTAGTGTGCTGATCACCCTGTTTTAGCTTTAACCCTGACTAGAAAGGAAGAGCAGAATCAGGACCGTGATCTACTAAGTAGAAAACACGTTCTGTTTTTACCTCTTTTAAAGCCTGCTTCCTAATTTTTTTAGTTCAGTGTAAATAAATTTTTCTGCTCTTAGTAATTCTTACTGATTCT